CGATTGTTTTCTAACAATTTAAATGGCTTTAATTATTTATTTTAATTGACGCGATCGAGTTCTGAAAGCAAACGCTTCACTTAGCTAAGTTTCCCGAGTAGATGAAAATAAACAAACGCAGATATGGGCGCGTACTTCTGCTTTATATTTGGTACTCTTTGCGACTGAACTCCTTATTTCTTCTCAACCGAAGCCATTGGCCTATGAAACAGGGGTGATATTTCGTTTAGTCGATAGTCGATCGGTCTGTAATCTTCTCGACATTAAAGTGATGGTCGGTCGTATTAAGGGCTTTACTGCGGTTTGCTGAGAAACAAACTAATCAACGCATTTTTTATGAAAAGTATCCACGCAACTGAAGATGAATTAGCGCGAATATTGTTGAACCTGGTAAGTTTTAAATCGACGGTCTTGACGCTTCGAAGGTAGAGCGATAGCGAGGAACGCGTATCTATTGGAAACGCAGATGAATTGAATCGCTTAAATGGATTAATTTTGTGCGAAACGTGGAACTGAGGCGTGGCGAAGTGAGTTCTGATCTGTTATTGTTTTTCTGCAGAAACGGCGAGCAGTCGGGAATTATACAAGCTGAATGACTAGTAGATGAAAGACACTTCAAAAATTTTCTTTATTTGCAGGTTACATGCACTGGAAGCTTGAACACGAGATACGCGAAAGAAAATGACATCCAATAATCCCGTTTGTTTTGGTAGTGCCAAGTACGAGAAGCTGAACCCCGCTCGCATGCCAAGCGAACGGCGGCAAAGTTTCCAGATGAGTCACGCAACACCGCTAAGTAAGCAAGTGTCCAGCGACTGCGAGTCAATGGCCAGTTACATGACCGGACCGGACGATGATAATGCGAGCAGTACACCGCCGGTTATATTAAGTCTGCTTAACTCGGACACCGATGCGCCTGTGACTTACAAAGGCGGCGTACCTCAGGATGACGACAACGATTCTAACAAGTTGGTCAGCTTCCTCCCGCCGCTGCCTGCGCCACCGCCGACCCTTCCTACGCCAAGCAAAGCGAAGCTATACCTAAAGCCACCGTCCTTGCATATTAGCATCGAAATCGATGGTGAACAACGCCAGTATCGCAACCAGGAACTCAGCACCAGTTTGCAGGTGTCGAGGTCATTGGCGAACTTTGTCGACTGTTATCATCCAGTTAATCGCGCGTCCCTCCTTCGCAATCACCAACTGGAAATTGCTGACATTAGCGCCGAGTATATGCGTCTCAATGGCGTGACACCTCAATTCAAGGTAAGACTGTTGCTTCAGCAAACGAACCGAATATGAAACATGCATCTTTGTCAGTGGTGCTTGTTCGCAGGTGACGTGAACAGAATCGTTGACCACGTGCTGTTTCTAATTTACCTCAGCTTGTTTTTCCTTCCCTGTTCAACGCTGTTTGTATGTGAAGACTGAGAAGAGTAATGCAGATAGTTTTAATTAATTTTGTTTTTGCATCATGAAGGTGTTTGCCAGGAGTCCTGCCTGTGACAGCAAATGAAGTCAACCATTTCCCTCGAGTAAATCATCACTCCAACCTCCTCCTCTAGACTGATTGATTCAGCTCTTGAATTCGACAGTCCACTCACTGGATTAGTTTAAGAAAACTATGAGGCTATGATATTAATTATATATAAATGGTTGAATAATATTCAATATGTGCAACGTAATGCGGTTTTGCGCTTATGCATTGCAATCGCAAAAATGCCCTGGAGCAGTAGCCTGCTTCAGTAGTCTCATGGGATTTTAGAAGTAAGGTGG